GTCAGTAATGTGCTTATCTTTTAAACTGTTGGAAGGTCATATCGACTACCTCGAACCTTTGCAAGAACGGCATTTTTGGCTAAAATTGCTCTCATCCAAACTACTGGAGTCACATAAGTAGTACCATTAGCCAGTGCAAGCGGTTGAAGGAGCAGATGTATTTGAAAAGATTACTGGAAGGAAGAGTAGGTTATATTTGAATGCACATAACTACCTACTGACACTAAACTACGTACCTGTGTACCTTTTACTCGATCGCCACGGAAGTGCCAGGTGAAATTATGAGCCAAGGCAGCCATAGGCGAAATCGTGACAGGGTTCATTGTGACGCTCACGTCATCACTAATCCAGCTGCTTCAGTATCTCTGTCGAACTACTACTACCACAAGCCTTCATCACACACCCTCTTCGTGTTGCTGTTGTGACGGTGTTCACATTCATGCTCCTACAGATGCAGCCTGCATGCTCAATCTCTTTTCAATAATGTCATTACAAAGGGCTCCTGGGAGGATCCACGAATTGGACACCTCCACACTTGTGCAAATGCACTCACTGCAGTCTTTGGCACAAACACGCTTGCCTTCTCATATGCAACAGATGAGGTGGATCGAGATGAGATGAAGTGGAGGTACATAATAACTCAAATTCCCAGTTTCAATTAGTAGATGAATTGGAATAGAAGTAGACATGACGCATATTTGTGGTTCAAAATGCCACTTAACTGATAGACATCCATGCAAGTGTCCAAATAATGCCTTCAATGCATCTGAATTTGAAGGATTAACTGAATTTGCATAACTCTTGACAAATCCTAACAATGCAGTAGTGACCAGAGTCTCTCGTGTCTCCCACCCCCAATCCACCACCAAAATGTCATTTGCTAGACGCTGTACTAGTGCAGCCACTTGTATTTGAATGATCTTGCTGCATGCATTTCCCAAATTATTCAGTAGTCGACTTCCCAACACAGGCACGCTTGCATTCCCGCCGTGTTGGGTACCGTGTAGCATTGCCATTGCAACCGTCGTGGCAATCACGCATACAAAGACCACTTGCGGCATTGCAGCATCACATTCTGTGGTGGTCTCTGCAGGGTGTTAGGGAAAGTGGTAGATGGCAGTTAATCCTGCCGCCTGCAAATCAAACCAAATCCATCACGTGCATTTACGTTTCACGCATCGCTGACCGCAGTTGTGTCGAAGATTAGTGAAAGTTAGTAGTATTGGCAGCATTGGAAATGCGCTTGAGAGAAGCTCAAGCGCCTAAATGTAGACGGACATTAAAAGGAGCATTGTGATGGAAGTAAATGCTTCAATCAAATGTGGGTGAAATATTTCACATTTTGATTTACTTTACTCTCCATTACATCTACCGACTTTAAGCCATCTTTAATAACCTGTTGCCAAATTGCTGCTTCCATATCTGCCTCAGATACAATCGCAGCAATGGCAAATGTCTAGCTTGCAAACAACATTTAGGCAATTGAGTCTGCCAATTGGGCATTGCTGACGGAAGTCGATTGAGTGCAGTCCACCAAATCATCGAATTTCCAGAGCGTTATTGAACAAAGTAAGTCAGCACTTCATGTTCCTTCGCATGCTACTCCCTCCAGGATGGGAGCACAGATTGGGGAGTGGAATGTGGAACTGCTGTGTCGAAGTGGTACTGCTGCATTGAAAGGACTGTAGGTACGCGTGCAAGCATGGAGGGTAGCAGAGCTGACTGAGTTTGTTACATCATGATTGGAATGGAGTGGTGATTGGCGAGTGCAATGGCCACGACACTCGATGGAGGTGTAGTAAAGAGGAAGGCAACGGCAGACGGGCCATAAGAAAAGCTGTTCACTTGCCTTGACTAAGACAGACGACACAGAGTAGCATGAGAGCCAGAAGAATGAGCTTGGCCATCGCGATCTGGTGGTGTGATTAACTGGCCTTGAGTAAATGCGGCCCCCATTCGTATACACAATCAGCCAGTGCTTGTTTAATGGGGTCATGACAATGGACCTTAGTGAGTGCAGTCCATAGACACTGACCACACTGAGGGGATGCTAAATGTTAAATGCCTTACACAAAAGCACACCAGCGTTCCTTGTTGTGGTTAAGTGGAGTGGATTACAAGATAAGCAGCACCTCAATCGAAGGGCCTCGGGAAGGAGGGGAGGTACTTGGCAAATTCTTGCTCACTACTTCCCCATACTTATCTTTGTGTCTATCTAAAGTACTGGCAGAAGTTTGGTCTATAGTGCATGCATTATACTCAGACGCCCAATGCTGATCGTGACAGACAAGCCATCCTAACAAGAGGTGATTGGACAAGTTGACAAGGCTGGTATCTGTGCGGGTCAGAGGGACACTACAAGTGATGCACTCAATTCCCAGCCATCACAGCCTCGCCGTGTCGGTATTCACAGCAGACAAAACAAAATGTGGGTCTCACATTGAATGGTGGAATTATGGAGGATAATGTTGGAATGGGGCCTTGCTTTAGTAGTGGACCTGAGTACTGCGGTTTGCCAAATATCCATCCTTCTGGAGTTTATACAAACTCACATACCATACAAGACCGTGACGCCTCTTGCCCATCAAATTTGCCAGTCGAAATGCCGCAGTGGTTATCTCCGCTTCTTCGACGTCACAGGGTGCTGTAGAAATGTGGACAAGAAGCCTTCATGCGTGGACAAACGGACTGGAGGATCCTCGGTAGAAATAACATGGTATTGAGTGCGGTCTGACACACCAATGTCGGCAGGTGTTTTTGGACACGCTGCGCTGTCTTCAGGGCAGTTCAATTGGTTCGTGTTTCCAGCAGTAAAGGGGATGTTCAAACACTGTCTAGTTATATGCAAAAAAGTGCTCTTGTAGGCATTTCTTCTTCTTCCAACACTTCACTGATTGTCAAAGTCCACTTTTAAAGGGAAAATCATTTGAGGGGGTGATAACTGCACACTGACGACCACGCGATAGTTTGGGTGGGTAAGCAAATAAGGGGAGGATCCAAGGGCAAAAGAGGCATTGTTAAGTCTCATAGACTGCGCTTCAGGATGCATGCTGGTAAGCAATGGTAACCACTACACAATCTCCTTCTTTCCAGTGTACAGCAAGTCATTTCGTAGGCTCTACGAAGACTGTTGGAAGCACCTCTGTCAACTCAGTTTAATAAACATACAGCTCTTCCCGAGAAGGGGTTTCCAAGTAACACCATCTCTTTCTCTTTAATCACCTTGGTCAATGTCAAGGCAGAGGCTAATTCACTTCCCCCTTTCATTATTATTTCAAAGGAACTAGTGAAGTTGTGATGGAGCCACATCGCTTCCTCACACCTTCGGGAGAGTTGTAGATCAGCTCTCAACTGCCTGCTCTATTGTCATTCATGATATAATTAAATGTCACAGAAGTTCGCCACGGTGATGTAGAGAGGGCTTACTGAGCAAAAGTTGTAAGGAATAGGTTTAGAATGTAAATGAGTGGCATGGTAGCAATTGCTGCCTGTGGTGTCTGCACCGCATAGGTAGGTTGTTGGTGGAGAAGAAGATGCGCTTCAGTTTTGCATGCGATTTTTGTAAAACAGTTTCGAATAGAAGCTTACGTTCTTCCAAAGCATTCCCTGGTACTCACCCACCCCCACACACTCATCCATCCTTCCAATCATTCATCTAATCCGTGTCGATTTTTACCCTCCCATCCATCCAACCCTCTCTCCTCCTACCCATCCTCTCCA